TGTGTTTTTATTGCAGTGAGCGCACACAGTACAGCATGAGTGCAGTGTTACTTTTCCTCTGAGAGTGTGTGTGTTGTGTTTTTATTGCAGTGAGCGCACACAGTACAGCATGAGTGCAGTGTTACTTTTCCTCTGAGAGTGTGTGTGTTGTGTTTTTATTGCAGTAAGCACACACAGTACGGCATGAGTGTGACCATCAGCACCCCCACAGCGCTGCTGACACTGGCGGAGACACGGACGGCGGCGGGCTCGCTCACCACTGTGCACCGCAATGACAGGCCGGTGGTGCTGCGTGAAGCTGCTCAGGCGCGGAGAGTCTTCCTGGGGGGACGGGCTGTCCATCTCCGTCTTCTTCACCGTAGGAGAGATCCCTGAACGGGGTCGGGGGGGGGATGCATTATAATGATGGAGTTGTGGATGGCAGGGTGCAGATCTGCACAGCTCACTCTGCAGAAATATATATTTTTCAGTAACGAATCTGTACATGTTGAAATAAAAATTGACTATAAAAAGAGATGGTGTGCATGAGTGTGTGTGTATAGAAGGGTTATGTATATACTGCATTGTATATATGTGTATATTACATGCCTTCACAATGCCAAAAATCTTGTATTTTGTTTGGGTACTTATGGTTAAAGTTAGGGCTGGGTGGGGGTTAAGGTTGTCACTGTTGGGGATTAGGGTTATGCATGAATGAATGGATGGTCCCCACAAAGATATGAGTACAGTTCTATGTGCACGTGCGTACATGGGTGTGTGTGTGTGTGTGCTTGGGTCTGTCTTGCTATGCATCAGCATCCCATGCAGGGTGTCACCCTGCCTTATACCCTGTGCTGCCAGGGATAGACAAGCACGTTGGGTGGACAGAAAAGCACAAATAAGAACATGCAAACACATCCATTACCAGTGCTGTCTGATCAGAAGCTCCTCATCTTCCATTTAAAACCGTTATTATAAAATTACCACCTGCATCTTACAAACACTCACAGCGTCACTTTCACCAGATGACATGAGCGCAGGGGAGGGTCTGAACCTCGCATGGGCAACAGGGGGCGCCACGCATCAGGAGAATGCCTCTGCCTGTGCTGCAGAGATCTCCATCTGCCTTGAGGATTCAGAAGGTCCCCGTTTCCTTACAGAGCTCTAAAGCAGCGCAGGCTGCGTGGGGGTCCATCATAATACTCTGGGTCGACCCCGGTTCTGTGGGGGCTGCGTCCTTCTAACGCGGCATTCGAGGAATGAATGCGTCACGGCGGTGCGACCAGGCTGTCCCATCTCGAAGGCTCCTGCAAATGCGGCCTAGAAATGCGTCTTTCTTTTTCTGTGGCATGAAAGATCCACCCGTCGGATCCTACGCAGCCCAGCATATCCCAAGATTCATTGCACAGACAGAGGACTTTCGAAGGACGCAGTCCCTGAATTTGGACTGAGCCTCTGTCTCGTCAGCGAGACACGGCACACGGCACACGGCACACGGCACTTCATGCAGACGCCGCACCGGCTGCGTTTCCTATGTTAGGCGTTTCCTGCCAATGCGTACCGAGGCATCCCCCCCCCCCCCCCCCCCCCCCCCCCCCCCCCCCC